ATAAAATAGAATAGAATAAAATAGAAATATACATATAAAAATAAATAAAATTGTTCAGTCGCATGCATATTTCACAACAAAATATTGACACTTTACAGAATTTCCGTTGTTCAAGTCTTTCAATTTTTTCAGTTTTGAAACAGGTATAGTCCCGAAACTTATGAGCGGAGATGTAAATAAAAATCGCGAACACGAGTAGTGAAATTTTCTGATGAAAGATTCTCCAGATGACAAACTGAAACCACGATTGTCTCTTCATGAAAATTGCTTCTTTCATACACACGTGGATAAAAATCGCATTGCACGCAAATTATTGAATTTTTTAATAAAAGATTTAATAAAAGGATTCTCGAGAAAACAAACTGAAACCACAATTGTTCTCTCATAGAAATAAATCACTCGGAGGAGCTTCGTACCTCTGTATTTACCTGTTAGGCGTCAATTGCAGATAATAACACGATGATCATCATTGAAAAAGAATTATTTATCACGGCAAGATAATCTGTCGTCCGTTCCTTCCGAGATATTATGGCTCGATGAAAATTATTGTTTTTACGGTTCATTCAACAATAGGAATAATTGTCACATTAATCATTCTCATGGGAAAACGAGATATACTATAATCATCGGCAGAGTACCTCCAAGGGATATATCTCGTGCAGTTTTGAATTACGTGAAATGATAAAGTGGACCAGTCATTCTGAAGGTTTATTTTTCGCCCCTGGATTCAATCATATCAACCGGTTTGTATTTCTGGTTTGCATAATCACAGAAACACGTTTGTCAGAGCGAAAGACAGGGTCTACGTGTTTTTTTTTTTTTTTTTTTTTTTTATTCTTTTACAATCGCTATTTCTGTTCTCTTCCAAGTATTGAGACGATTTCAGAGAGTTGAGATGATCATTTGTTATTTTAAAAATATCTTCAGGATTTTTCACGTATTTTCTATTATATCTTTAAGATTCAAAGTGAACGACTAGATTAATTTCAGGATGTATTTGGATTTTAATGTTGACATAAATATTCGTATTATATTTCACGTTCGCCATAACAAAAAGAGATGTGTTCTTCTTTTATGTTATATGTTTTTTATGTCTGTATGTTATGTGTTTTTTATACCTATATGTTTTTTATATTTTTTATAATTTCTATTTCTGTTTCTTCCGAGTCTTCTTCTAATAGAGACGATTTCAAAGATTTACGATTATTTGTTAATTTTCAAAATCTCGATATATTTTTGGAATTCAAAGTAGATTAGACAAATCCTTTTTTTTTTTTATTTGAAGGTGAATTTGGATTTCAACTGGATATAACTTTCTTATCGTCCATAAATATTCGTATTGTATCTCTAATAGGTTATGTGACCTTGGAGATACGAGTTTTGCAGATTCAAATGGAATCTCTCTCATAAACTTTCAACAATATGTACGAAACGATGATCGACGTATTGCTTTATCGATAGATCGCGGATTTTTATACATTTATGGAACATTTAGAAAAGTATGTAAAATATTTAAAGTATAATGCTCCTTATAATGTTTAATAGGCAAATTAATGTTTTACGTAGATTCCATTTTTCAATTACACCTTTCCCAAAAATATAAAATCGTACAAATATCAGCGGTCAATTTATCGACGATAAATAAAAAAATTACGTATCAGGAGCTCACGAAGGATAAATCGTTTAAATGAGAACGATAAACCTTTACGAGAGAATTCGAGTTTTGCCAGCTTGTCTCCGATGTTCTTACCCAAAAGGATTTTGATGTCCGATAGCTCTCACCCACATATATCCTTGTCTTTAAAACTAGTGCTTACGTCAATAGTATTTCGGGTTCTGAGAAAGAAAAAGAGAAAGAGAGAGGAATTAGTTTGACAGAAGGAAAGAACAATCTCCCTACACACATTGCAGCTGAAAAACAATTTTTGTAAAAGGAATTTGTGATATAATGTGTTTCATTATTGTTAAATCCTTTGAATAATATTATTTGAATAATCAAACTGTTATATGTAGCTATATTTAATACATATATTATATATTATATACATAATGGATAATATTATACATTTACAATATATTCTAATTTTAAAATAAAACAACTCAATTATTCAAATAATTTAAATGAATAAATGTCTATTCGATATTTATTCAAATAATTTAAATAAATAAATGTTTATTCGATAACTGTACATTACCGAAGAACTAACAAAAAGTTGATAATTGTTAAATGACAAATTTATCGAAATGTTTGGTATTTCAAAAAAAAAAAAAAAAAAAAAAAAAACATACTACGTCTTGTAAATGCGATGGATATTAAGACGAGAAAGAAATCCAATAGTTATTGGTAGAACATGTTCTCTACGATACAGAACGTAATTAAATATATCAAAGATTTTATTTTTCAAATAGATATGAGAATGAAGAAATTGTCAGTTGCAGTGTACGTGGAACATATTGTACTAAAATTTCGTCGCAGTGGTGAATTAATTCAATTGAAGAACGTCTAAATAATCTGTTGCTGATTTTGCGCGGAAAGTTCCTTGACCCAATATCGAGATTCATTGGGCCAAGATCGCCTCGCGATTATTCCCGCGTTCGACAAACAACAGAAAATGGGAATTTCAAATCGGTGGGAATCCGTTTCTACATATCACAGTGGATTTCCCTCTGTGATTTTACAACGTTCCAATCCTTATTTTAACATCGGCTACTACAAATCTTTTCATCTAATATTTGCACAAAGGAACATTTATCACCATGAGAAGAAGATGCCATATTATTTTCAAATATTTTCTCATCGTCTCCTACAAAGAGATATCGCTATCAGAATTTTCCTGTATGCTAATGCTGTTACGTCAGCCATTATTTACATATAAAATTCCAATTATCGGGTATCGATAGACGCAAGGAGAAACAAACAAGTTTCGCCGAACGTCACGAGATTTTATCGATCACTTCGACGAACTTTCCATGTCTTCGATCGCTCAATTCTCGAGAGCTATCAACGCACTACTTTGTCAGTAATTCTAAAAATCAAAATTTCGACGGTAGCACCTGTTACATACTCGTTAATGACATACTGCATGGGACGTCTTAAATGCCGGATCTTTACGATCGTGAATCTATTTTTCCAACAGTTTTATTACCTTCTCCTACGCACGACGCGTTACTCATAGTTATTAATTGATTCGTTAATTCATCGATGAGATTACTGAGATTCCCAATAGCGAATTATTAAACACTGCTTCTTCAGCCAGTGTCTACAATTTTTTCTTAAACCTATCACCTGTTATATAACGATGATATAATGTCGAAGAATCTTCAATCTTATTTTGCATATTCCTTCAGAATATTATCACATCAATTTTTAAAGATAATCAACAGAAATTATCAAAATTTCATTTTAATTGGTCTGCAAAAATATTCGAAGATCGTCGCTTAAAATTATTACTTTCAGCTCAAGCTGCCGCATTAAAATTTTCTGACGTGCAAAGTTATTTTCAATATTCAAAAAAATTAAATTTAAATATTTCAAGATATAATGCCTCGTTCTTCCATCAAATTTTTTCTCAAAGAATTCGTTCTTGCAGTTCTTTTTTCAAAGAAATTACCATCACTTCATTTATGTATTTTCGAGGAATTGCCTCTTACAACATTTATTTTTGATTAGCCAACATATTCTGCAAAATATTTGAAGATCGTTAAAATTATCATTTTTTGCCCAATTTTCTAATATCCAGAATTATTCTCAATATTCAGAAACTTAAATTTAAACATCTGTTTCAGAATATAATGCCCCGTCCTTTCATCTTCCATCAAACACTTCTCAAAAAGTTATTATTACTATTTCACTTATAATCTTAAGAAGTTATTCCTTACAAAATTTATCTGTGACTAACTTATATATTCTGCCTAAGATTACCATTTTCAGTCCGAGCCATTAAAATTTCCCAACGTATCAAATTATTTCATCAAGATATAGCGCTTCGTCCTTTCACCTTTCCGAGAAAATCGTTCAAGGGCGACACGCGTTAAATCCGTCACGTCCCCCCAAATTACCAGGATTTTCCTCGGTGCTTTCTTCGGTTGTAGTAAATCTCAATAAATTGATAAATCTTGCAATAATGCAGCAGCGTGGAAAAATGGCAACCGGTTCGACGAAGCGATTAGACCTCGACAGTGTGAGCCGGCAAAAGTTTTGTCCACTGGCTACGAAATCATGATCTATCAGTGTTTGCCTACGATCGATCGATGGAATATTTCGACAATTTTTGAAAGATCCACAAGTATCGCCGACGACCGTTCTCGATTGAAGGTATCGTTTCGAATTAAGGAATGAAACAGTACGGGGAAAGGGAACGGTCAGCAGTGAATAACGATCATTTATTGACCGGCGTAAAATCCCCCGGTTCATCGTATATAAGTTGTTGTCTCGTTCAACAGTTTCAGTCGTACTTGACTCTTCGACCACAGCGATTATCGATATAAAGCAGCAGCGACGGTCAGCAAGACAAGGTTCCGGTGGATTTCGTGCATTTTCTTCACACAGTGCAGAGGAACATGCGATCACTTAAGTGTTTTGTGCCAGTGTTGGTACTCTTGTACCTGGGAAGCTCGTCAGCAAAACCTGGTGAGTGTTCGTCGTATTCGGACCTCGTGTACTTCCGGTTGGAAAATGGAGATTAAAGATGATAAAAAAAAAAAAAGAAAATCGGTGCAAGAATTAATTACCCGAAGAGTGTCTTAGAAAACGCGCTCTAATCTTCTTCAATGCAATTATATTCGTTCTTCAAGTGTCTTAATTTTATTTTTAGTCTCTTTTCTTTCTTTCATATTTTCGTACTTAATTGTTTGGCATACATTTAGAAAATGAATAAAAGTACACTCTAATTTACGTTTTCTGAGTGTTTTAATTTCATTTGTAATTTTTTCTGGAAAAAAAAA